CATAAACTTACAACTGATCCACCGGGTGAGTGTTTATCATGATCAGCTTTACAGTGGGAATGATTTTTTTTTTTAAGCAATTAAAACTGCGTCGTATCAGTCCATAAGAGCGTGATTTCGGTGTTTATATTTACATAGGTGGCAATAATTATTTTAACAAAAATATATAAATACAAAACAGACAAAAATAAAAATCCTAGTGTGGAATTTTGTGGTTTATACATAATGGAGATGAAGAGAAGATCAGGGATATTTGTCTGAAGAAGGATTTGATTCTTTGATCAGTAGAACTTCTGCGATTTTTCTTGTAATAGTTTCACTTGAACTTGTAAATGTTGTTAATAATATACTGCCTGAAGATGGCTCACTCCTAATAACTGAAACATCCCAGTTTTAATTGCTTAAAAAACATTTCCACTGTAAAATTGGTCACGATATTAAATTTAATAATAATTAATTTAATTTAATTTAAAATAATAACATAACTGTACACAAAAATGCAAAACATTTTGGGTTACATTTGTTTTCAGATATAATCGATGATTTAGGATGTAAGTGTGCAATGAGATGTGGGAATCACCAGCAAAGCTACACTTTATTCCAAACAGTGCCTCACAGTGTCTTTGTTCAGCCCGTTATTATGTTTTATCAAGTCTTAAAAGCCAAATGTCTCTAAAAACAAAATCAGTTTTTATTTACTGGTCTTTTGAGAAATCGTAATGGTGGCTATTCCGAATGAATTGCTAGAGAACACTAGAGTTTTTATAGTGGTAAATGAGAACTGGAGAGAGAGAGAGAGAGACGGTCTGTTAACGTTACCACGTCAGTTCTGAAGTTATGTATTCCAACCATAATTGTTAAAGAGCAAAATCAGAGTAGAATTTCGGCGCGAAGTGATTTAATTATATCTATAATGGTAGAATGATGTCCATCATGTGAACTGCGTAGTCGTAGCCGGTTACCAAAGAATCCTATATGTGTTTAAAGGCTTTTCCATATTTTACTTAGTTTCTCAATCGTTAAGTCACGGTATAACCCAAAGCTGAAGATGCTTGAAACGGGTATATTTTCTCACGTAATTATGTAGTTTTCACATGGCGAGTTACTATGGTTTCGATGTTGGGATATTATTTGGTATTTGTATTTAATGCGGCATTATTCCGAGGGGGCAAAATTAAGCATACACTACACGTACCACCCTGGTTTAGTCCCCACGTCCTTTAGTACCGAAGATCTATGCTAACATATTTCTTTAAAATTGCTATGTACTTTCTTTAGCTGTCGACATCGCGCCACGTTCCGTGTAAGGCAAATGGGACTTGGCCTGAGAAATGGGCTTGCCGGGTATTGTTGGAAATAAGTGGTATATTCATAAGCCATCTTGAGTCCGATGTTGAAATTCAACTTAAAACATCTCAAGCGGAAAACCACTCAACTAAAAATATATGCACTATATATATATATATATATATTGCACATATACAGCGTAATATAGCAAATTGGGTAAAGCGTTAAACATGTAGTTTTAGAAACTATAGGAGGATATTTATGGACTGTTCCTTTCAGTTAAGTAAAACTAATTTTCTGTTCTGTTCCATATAACTAATCTTCACATAATACATAGATACCTCGGTGTCCCCCGAGGACAGCGGTAAGTTGACGAACTTATAACATTAAAATCAAAGCTTTGCATATGATTAAATTAGAAATTTACTTTTATTATTTTTAAGAACGCCGATTTGGAAGACACGTATTGCTATCCGTGTAGTACGTGGGTTGTAGAGGACTATGAGACAGAATGGCCATAACACACTAAATGTTGACCTGATATTTCAACCATACCTTATAATAAACTAACATAGAAGTTTATTTTACAAAACTCCGGAAGTCCCCATTATGCTAAACTACCGACTCCCCACTTTTAAGTACCATAAGAACATACACTTTGATATTCATAGGGTAATTTCTTTCAAAGATAATCGCCGTTAAGGTATATGAAGTAGTGAATCATTATTAATGGTATTTTAGATACTTTTAGCTTGGTAAATAGAAGACACGTTTGTTATCCATTACGCTGCTATTTTGATCATTACGATACTTATGTACGTATGTTGGGTGTATTTTACAGTAGATCAAAGAGTTTCATATTTCTACGCATTTTTTTTAATTGAACAAAACTCTTAGAATAATTAGTGTTTAGTATCTGGGAGATATTCCAGTTAGTTTAAATTAAATGTCATCTTTGTACTTTTAATATGTTTGTAATATTCCCATCAGAGCGAATATCTTTGTAAGTTCAAGAAGAAAAACCACAAAAATTAAAAAGGATTACCCATTGTGTTTACCATTAAAAAATCAAACAATTACTTGGAATTTTCGGGGGTCGATATTATTCTTAATACTGGTAAAGTAATTTATTTTTCTGCGGTTTCTTTGAAAGTCGTCTTTAGACTAAGTAGGTATAAAGTCAATCTTGTACTCCAGTTTGTCTTTCGTGGGCTTTCTTTACAGGAACAGTTTGAATTATCCCAGACTTTTCCTAGAGTGGTAGAAAAATTCAATCATAATTTTTTTTAATACTACGGATAAAAATCTCGTTTGAATTTATACTTTTTAGTCTCAGTTGTTAGCAACCAAGTAATTTCTCAGACCAATAATAACATTTTATTAAACTACTGGTTTTTACCTCGAGTTTCTTTTTCTGCTTATTATTTGCAATATAATAACGAAAATTATTTTATACTATAAATTATTCTTTGGAACCTAATTGTAGAGTTGTTGTCCTGATGACGAGGACAGAGGACTTACACATCTTATTTTGACCCAACTTGCTCTGCTGGAACTACATTCAAGCCCGTGCTAACGACCGATGTCTTCTGTCTCGGCTTTAATTATATTTTTGTTTTCTGGATAATATTGTTTTCAACTGACGAGAACATTTTCTTTGTTGTTAATCCCATTGGGATATCTGTGGTCTACCCACCTAAGGTATCGAAACCCGATTTTTATTGTTATTGTTATGAGCCCATAGACTTACCGCTGAGCCACCGAAGGACAACGAGAACACGCTGGAGGAATCTACAGCGCTCTGAAGATTTCTTACTTAAAATACTATCTCTGCCCCAGGCTTTCTTTGCTGGACCGATAAAAGTAATTTATTGTAATAGATGTTTCTTCCCTGAACCTTCCGTGTTGGAATTATTTTTCAATCCAATGATAACAATATGCTGAAACAATATCTACTGAGTTTGGCCCAGTATCTAGCATCCCCGGACAGTGAATCCAAAAGGTTCGTGGCTTACGTTTCGTTGCGGCAGAAAAACGCTCCGCATTTTGGGGCCGTGGGTGCACTATAACAATGACAACCAAATCATATTAGTTGGTCAGACAAGAGTTGCTTAAGAGTGACCGGTGGGAGTTGTTGACTAACTGCCTCTCTTCTAGTTTAGCGATTCAAAATGACGGACAGCTATGTTCAAATAGTCTTTTTTGTAGCATTGCGCGAAATTCTGAAATACAAAACGAAGCAGAAACAACGTATTTTGACCTCATTTTTTATGGCGCTATTCACTGAATATATGGTTCCGATTAGTAGAACCGATATTCAGAGTGAATAATAATGAATAAAGGTGTGTTTTTAAACACATAAAGCAATGCCCTATACCATGCGTGTTATCTGGAGCTATGTGTAATTTACAACGGTTCACGTTCCTGCAGATATACAACGCTTGATAAATTTACGTCTCCATAAATACAAAGAGAATTTGCAATTTAAAATCAACTTTTATTTTCTTGATTGTTGAACATCTAGTTCGAATTTAAAGGAAGCGAAAGCCCTTGTACTAACAAAACTTTTTCACATGGTTTAACGTTCAATTTGGAACTAGACAAATGAACGCTTTGAATTTCCTTTATGTGAAGCATTTTTCAACTTTGTGGAAAATCATTCTGAAAGAAGCGTATGTCTGAATCGCCATTCTTCTTTATTGGTCAGCAGTCCACGTGTTGTTACAACTTGAAACAAACAACAAGTAAAGACGTAGCCTCCAGGTGCGCACTGGCAAACTCGCTGTTCTTCATCTGCGCTGCCATAAATCTCAAAGACATGTAGGCAATTAAAATAAGAAACGGCCATGTTCGTGCGTCACCAAACTCTTTTTGGGAATTTCTTCAATTACAAAATGAGATCCATGCAAGTCAGCATATATTAGGCTTAGTCGCCGGTCTTTGTTATTGATCTGTTCACTAGGGTACTGGGTCCACTGAGCTCGTACATGACAAACAGCGCCGCTATTTCCCTATTCCGTAGCATTGTAGAGCTGTCACCCCGAGATTTGTAGACTAGCACAGCGGCGAGTAAGTTCTTTGTCTGTCAGTCTGCCATTTGCTTTATTTCGCTACATGAACTAAGATTTTCAATATAAACCTTAAGTGTTTCTTATTTCCTATTAGACAGATAGACAAATAAATACATAAAAATACAGCAGACATAAATAGACAGACAGGCAGATAAAGAGATACAGAGACAAACACAGATAGAGAGCAAGAGAAACACAGCTAGATAAACAAACAGACAATTAGATAGATAGATAGAATTTTTTTCCCTAAAAGTGATCCTTAAGTTACTTTTATTTTATTCGCCTTTAATAGTGTCTTATATAGCTTGTTTTTCTGGGTCACCTTCTATATATCATGCAGGTAAAAAAAATCCTATGTTTTATTTTCTTGTAATCAATTATTGACTTATATTCATTTCGTTTAAAACCGAAATCTAAGCTTAACACTTTTGTCTTTGTTGTCTATTTATGTTTTAGGATTTACTTCTTAAAAACAAACCACGTTCTTGAAATATCATTATTGCCTAAACGATAGCGTGATTTGTTTATTAATATAAATGTTTTTGCCAAGAAAACAGTCTGTTTTTGCAATATTTTTTTGAGGTACCTATTTTCAGTGCTAAGATATTTCCTTCACTTATTTATTCCGATCTCCTCTTTCAGATACTTGCGATGGAGTAAAATGTGGAGAAGAGAAGAAGTGTAGAATAAAACGGGGACATCCTCAGTGTGTCTGCAGACCAAAATGTCCCAAACGTAAACGCCGTCTAGGGGCAGTATGCGGTAACGACGGAAACACGTATAAGCACGTTTGCAAATTGTTAAAAGTCCAGTGTCGAAAAGATAAGAATCTGGCTGTGGCTTACTTCGGCGCATGTCAAGGTAAAATAAGTAACTCACGTTGAAAGCGAAAAACAATGTAAAACTCTAGTGATTCTGAGAGGTAGACCTTTCTTCCTTAAGGCAAAAGTTGTTAGATAGGTATTTTTAATTGATTTGCTTTTAAACCTGCCTGTATGTTATATGAAATAAAGTTATTTCTCCAAATGTAGAGTCAGAAGAGTCCTAACCAGAAAAACATATGCAAGATGTATAAACTAATTAAAATAGTGACTTTTTAGTAATAAATCAATAAATCCAATAACAAAATCAAAGTTCTTTCTTACTGAACAGTGAATAAATCTTAAGCCATATAAAACAATCAGGTGAGTGAATAATCACATTCTCCCTTGGTTGTTTTTTTTTTTTCAAGGTATCGATGTACAAATTAAAATTAAAATCCGTTGAACGCAATTGGACACAGGAATTGCTGAGGAATTGTGTGTTAGAGGCTTCTTTGTAGACTATATGTATATACATAGATATGTTTGATTTATAATACTATGTGTGTGCAGCACCTCAAGAAATGAGACTATTATTGAGTTCCTAACCGCAAACAAACAATACAGATTTGACATTCGATTCGTAAGGCACTCGTTGGCCTCACGTGTGGCCAGATTTTGCCGGTAAAAGAATTAACCTAATACATTTCATAAAACTCAGAACCAAAAAAAAAAGGTTAGCGTGGAATCGTTTTTGACATTCCAAATATGTTCGTTCTTTTTCTTGACGTAATATAATATGAATCTTGCAAACCTAACGTTTGACAACACCCTTAGTGATGTTGACGACCTGATGATTTTCGGCAACGTGAACGTTTATTGTACCTTAGTATTATTTCATATTATGTAATAGTTATATACTCACTTTGTATGTAATAAGAACCTTTACATGTAAGGAACAGAATATTAAATTAAGGAGAAAGAGATCTTAAATATGCGATGTATAGATAAAAATTAATTGTTTCAATCGATTCTCGGAAACGCCGTCTAGTGACAGTATACGGTAATGACGGAAACAGATATCAGCAGAGACAGATAAAAAGGATTTCCCCAAACGTATAGTCGTGCGTTTGTTCGTCTGTTGTTAAGCGCAAAGCTACACTATGTGCTATCTGTGCTGTGCGCATTACGGGTATCGAAACCCCATTTTTAGCGCTACAAGCTTTCGGACTTACAGCTGAGCGACGGGGGACGTATATATTCATAAGACCATAGTCACAAAAGGGCGTAAATCTACTGATGTTTGCATATTGTTGAAGATCCAGTTATTGGGAAAATAAAAAATCTGACTATGGCTAACTTTGATGCATGTCAAAGTAAAATAGATAACTCTCGTTAAAAAAAGAGAGACAAGTTAGTAGGAACAAAATATTAAATTAAGTTTGTTTGCAATTAAGCACAAAGCTACACATGGGGCAATCTGTGCTCTGCCCACCACGAGTATCGAAACCCGGTTTCTAGAGTTGTAAGTCCGCAGACATGCCGCTGTGTCACTGAAGGGGGGGGCGAGTTAAATAAAGGAGAAAGACATCTGAAGTACGCAATTTGTATATGAAGATAAACTGCTTCAGTCGATTCTCGACATACTATGAGCCACGATAGATAACTTCATTTTGGCTTAGACTGAGTCAGATATTTCTATCCAGATGGAAGTATTTAGTGGATTGTTTGTTTGTTTTTAATTATGCACAAAGCTACACAAGGGCTATCTGTGCTCTGCCCACCACGGGTATCGAAACCCGGTTTCTAGCGTTGTAAGTCCACAGACATACCGCTGTGCCACTGGGGGGCATATTTAGTGGAACGTTTCTTAATCCGCACATTGAAACTGCAGCTCTAGTTAAAGTCTACCAAATATAAATACGACTCAATGTAGGGACAAATTGACTTATACTGGTTAGCGTGTCGGGCTTCGGATCGAAAGTTCTTGGATCTAGATGTGATCACGCTCCACACTTTTAATTCTAGGCGCGTTGTAAAAGTAACAGTCAATTCCGTAATTCGGTTCAAAGAGGAAAACAAAGACCTTTTGGCAGTGAATGCTACTCTCTGGCTACTTTTCCTCTGGCCAGTAACTCCAAATTAGGGACGACTATATATGAAACCCAAATCTTTTAGCTCACGTACGCTTAAGGTTCCATTCAGGTTCATTTCTTTATATGAATATGTGCAGTCATAAAAAAAATGGATAATATTTATCCCTTAGTAAATGAATATGGTGAGGAGAAATTCCAAATTGTTAATGCTTTGGATTCATTCTGAAGTTACTTAATGTTTACTCTCGTGAAGGGCACTTTTATTGTACACTTGTTGAGGAATTTGTTTACTAAATGATGATGACTTGAAGTTAACTTCGAATTTAATCAGTAATGTTAAACTATTTATGTTTTAAAGTCAGTTAAACAGTTACTTTCTCCTTTTTACAGACATGTGTCATTAAGGTATTAATGAAAAGTTTGAACATAAGTCAGTTGCTGTACATTTCATATGAATCATTGATACATATTGTGACGTAATGTTTCAGCCATAAGTCTATCGTGATGACTGTTGAGTGGTCCGTAATTCATCACGAACAATAAATAAATATATATATACGTATATAATGGTGACTGAAACATTGCGTCACATCCTTTTCGAAGGGAAATATTCTATATATATATATATATATGTATGTATATAATGATGACTGAAACATTGCGTCACATCCTTTTCGAAGGGAAATATTCTGAGAAAGACTATTAAAAGACGCAGAGACAAGGAACGTCATTTCGAAGAAGGGAGAGAGAGAGAGAGTTCAATGTTCTCCAGAGAAACAGAGAAACTCATACAGCAAAGAGTTTTAGGATAGCAACAGGCTCCAAAACTACACCCCAATCCAATCCGGAACAATGTCTCATCTGCAAAAGTTGGAGACTATAATTACAAAAGAAAGCTCTTCGATCCAAAGAGTCATTGCAATTAAGCTGGATATATCTACTGTAACCGTTAACATAAAACAGACAAGGATTTAAAGTTGATGAAGACTCACAAGTTGAAAATCAATAACTGTTTTGATCAGACCGGATTTGTAGTTTAGCCATACATCTGGTGAGTCCCTCCATGCAGCTTCAATAAGCTATTATGCCTTTGGTCTGCTTAAATTTGGTCTTGGAAGCCGATGCTCACACATACAGTAGAGTTGTCTGTGAAAGAAGTGCTCAGAACGTGTGGCCTAACATTGACTTTGTCATCCTTTCGCAGAAGGTTATGGGAATTGCAATGTAGAACAATCATGGCCATACGACTGAGCTCAGTCGATAATGGAGAAAGTAGTTTCAAAGGCAGAACCTAAAACATATTTATTTTTTTGTGAAGTGTGATTAACTTTAGTATACGTTGTTAATTTTTTTTCAAAACTTGAACAAGTCTAACCTTCTTATTGGCGTTACAGATCTCTAGTTGTGTAGTTTACAACTTTGAAGTTCGGTATACGTTCGTACATTTTAAGTGCTAATCGCATGGTTTTACTTGAGTATGACTCTGATTTTAACCTTAAATATTTGAATTGTTTCTCGTCGGGTGTTTGTAGGGCATACAAAGACAAGCTAGGTTTTCAAACTAACTATTGGACATTTGACTTTGATAACTGATACACGAGACCTCTAAAACGATTATTTGATGTTGAAAGTGACTATTATAAACAAAATAATCGGTAACCATGTTTTACAACCAATGATCACAAACATACTTTGGAGTTTATTAGGCTTTCATTAAAACGAACCACGATCATGAAGAATATGGTTGATAGACTGTTCATACGCCAAAGTTTGACTTGGCTGCAAACTTCAGAATAAATGACCGTAAGTATGTAGTTTTGTTTTCATGGCACACGTTACCATTTGATGTTTCTTCATTACTTTAATGAATCATCAGATCCAGCTTGTTTGGTTTATTGTAAATTTCGCGCAAAGTTACACGAGGGCTATCTTCACTAGTCGTCCTTAACTTAGCAGTGAAAGACTAGAGGGAAGGCAGCTAGTCATCACCACCCACCGCCAACTTTTAGGCTACTCTTTATCCAACAAATAGTGGGATTGACCGTCACATTATAACGCCCCCACGGCTGAAAGGGCGAGCATGTTTGGTGGGACGGGGATTCGAACCCGCGATCCTCAGATTGCGAATTAAGCGCCCTGGCCACCTGGCCATGCCGGGCCATCAGAGCCAAAGTTGTCAGGCAGAGTTATCATAATATCAAACATATTTGTGTTGTAACAACTATAAATTCACACATTTAGTGTTTCATAATATGTATCTATTTTTTTTTAATTGTCATAAAGACATTGGAAGTTGGGCCAAATCTTGTACTCAGAAAAATCAAACTAGTCCAAAAGTGTTACATTTAATTCTGTCGTGTATATCTATATTTTCAGGACAACGTTCATGCCATTATTTAGAAAAATAAAGCCTAGTTTATATTGGACAATGTGAAAGTTTCAGTGCCAGCTTTAGGCCTAGTTTATATTGGACAACGTGAAAGTTTTAATGCCAGCTTTAGGCCTAGTTAATATTGGACAATGTGAGAGCTTGAGTGCCAGTTTGAAAATAAAAATTTTCTAAACTCAAATTAAAAGCTACTTTTTTTGACAATTCAAAATAAAGTATGTAACTTACTTTACGATTTGCATCTGTTTTTAAGATGTCCCTTACTCTCACAGTATGAGCAAAAGATATCTCAAAACATCATAAATGTAACTTACATTCCACCACTATGTGAAGTTTTTTATCTTTTTCTTTCGGTTTGCCCTTGTCCACTATTCATTGCCAGGTGGTTAGGGTGCTCGACTCGCAATCTGAGGGTCGGGGGTTCGAATCCCCGTCTCACCAAACATGCTCGCCCTTTCAGCCGTGGGGGCGTTATAATGTGACGATCAATCCCACTATTCGTTGATAAAAGAGTAGCCCAAGAGTTGGCGGTGGGTGGTGATGACTAGCTGCATTCCCTCTAGTCTTACACTTCTAAATTAGAGACGGCTAGCGCAGATAGCCCTCGTGTAGCTTTGCGCGAAATTCAAAACAAACAAACTTGTCCACTATTACTGATAAGGAATACAATTCCTCGAAACTGGTATAGCTCGGTGACAAATGGTAAATCGAACGACAGACTGGACCACATGTTTATTTTTTAATGTTTTTATTAATGTTTAATTGTTTGTGTACAATTTCTTAACATATATATTTTTATTTATTTATCATGCTTAATTATATTACAAAAAAAACTTGAACGCCCCCAGTGGCACAGCGGTATGTCTGCGGACTTACAACGCTAAAAACCGGGTTTCGATACCCGTAGTGGGCAGAGCACAGATAGCCCTTTGTGTAGTTTTGTGCTTAACTATAAACAAACAAACTTGAACACTTCAGTATTCCCAATGCTATCTCTATAGATTGTTTTTATTTTGTTGTTACAGTTTTTCAAGTTAGTCTGAAAGTACGAGTCTTGTTACCTATCTAAAATTTTAAATCCATAAGCTTACAAGTAGTAGTCGGTAACTAATCTTGTGCGTCTTTTTTGATTTTCTTGGCTACTATGCCACATGACTTGCAATACTAACTGTACGTTACGCGATACACATATGAAACCTAGGGTTGCCAGACGTCCCAATAAAATTGGGATCCTTTCAATTTTTTATCCCAAATTTCTCTGTTTCGATCAGAAACGGTAAATGTATTAAAATAACCCAGTTTTCTTTGTACTTCGACGTGAGTTTGATATGTACGGTTTGTCATTATCACAGCTTCTTTGAACATTACTTCAAGAATCACCTGACAAAGACAGATCGCACGGTACCGTGTTCCCTTCCTGTCTGCTACACTTTATGAACCTAATCTGTCATTGGGCAGCCGCAAGAATTGAGATTTAAAGACCTGACCAGCCGCCAAAAAACAACGAAGAAGCAATATTTTCTTTTTGAGTAGGTTCAAGACAACTTAGATGCGCATATTTATTTATTAATTTTGTAATTAGATAAGCTTCCAATATTTGTTTTTTTTTTTTTGTCTATCGTTTTAAGATGCGGTGCAATAAACATCAGATTTAACAATTGGTAAAAAAAAATTTATTATTGTAATTCAAATTGTTTCAGAACTGTTATAGCGGAACTCTTTACGGGGGAGGTAGGGAGAATGT